TAATAGAACAAATATGGTAACTGTTTTATTTGGAATAAACAGTGATGACATAAATGGTACTTTGATATAAATATGGGTATAGATTTGCCACTATTCAGGTATAAAAATGGTCACACTTTTGAGCACTCAGGGGCACCTCCCTACCCTGTTATGTATCAACTGCCCCCGGGGATATGTCTGAAAAGGTTCGTTTACCCCGCCTTGAAGACCCCGTCTCACGTCCATACGACGGTACGGTTGCCTTGAAGACCCCGTCTCACGTCCACACGACGGTACGGTCGCCTTGAAGACCCCGTCTCACGTCCATACGACGGTACGGTTGCCTTGAAGACCCCGTCTCACGTCCACACGACGGTACGGTCGCCTTGAAGACCCCGTCTCACGTCCATACGACGGTACGGTCGCCTCGAAGACCCCGTCTCACGTCCACACGACGGTACGGTCCACAGAGCATTGCGCGTGTCGCGATCACGAAATGAAAATGACGTAACTATCGAAAGTTGTTCAGCGCGTTAAAAAGATCAGATTCTAACGCGCGCAGACTATAACGAATACTGAATACTGGGTCTTGCGATCGCTAAAAGATTTTAATAACGTAGCAACTAAACACGTCTATTGCTAATTTTATTTTGTGTTAATTTGTTTGTCCAAATCTAACGTCACGAATAATTGATGACATTGCATAATGCTGCAGCTTTGTGAAATATCGGACCAATGGTAATAAATGTTCTACTTTCTGGGCGTACTACAATTGTAATTTCTTTTTAACAATGGACCTCTGGCTATAAAGCGAATTTCTTTTTTAACAATGAACCTCTGATTATAAAGCTTTTTTTTTAACAATGAACCGCTGGTCAGAAAGCGAATTTCTTTTTAACAATGAACCTCTGGTTAAAAAGCGAATTTCTTTTTAACAATGAACCTCTGGTTATAAAGCGAATTTTTTTTTAAGAACGAACCTCTGTTCTGGCGAAATTGCCGCGTCGAACCAACATTTAGAGAAGAAAAAATTATAATATACAATAATAAAATTGCCTCGGCTAGTAGGCCAGCCTAGTTGTATTGTCGTAACTGTGATAAAACACTGTGTATTGATACATACTTGTCCCAACTTTACGATTCGTTCACCGGACATACTTCCCGAGACGTCCAACACCAATGCGATTCGGCTGCCTTGTTGTTTTACAATACGGAATTCGGGAAGAGTCAAGGTCGCATCACATCCAGCTCCCGGTGGGTTAGCGCCGTCAGCAAAGTCTACGTGTTCTCGCATTATCTATGGAAAGAATATAATATTTTTAAAACGCCATACAAAATATGTTCCAAACATTGTTCATAGTGCCACACAATGTTCCCGAAATTAATAAATGAACAAATAGACAAACAAAAAAAAGGAAGGAGGAAGGGAAAAACGAAAAAAATGAGGAAAAATAGAAGGGAAAAAATAAAGAACTTGCCTCCCAAACGCTCTTCTCCTCACACAGTCTATTTTGTTTACTAGGGGACTCAACATTGTGAATGCTTTCTAGTGTGTCGGCAAAGGTTTCGTTGTCACAAAAATGGATAAGCTGAAATGAACGAGAGAAACATATTTTGTAATGGCGGAATATGGATAAGTTGTTTGATAATATAGGTAACACGCCATGCCACTTATTTCACCGCCGTGATAACAATTCAATACATGTATTAGGAACAGTCGAAGAATCGTCTAACACTTGAACAATACAATACATAACTTAGATTAATAATGTACGCGTGTACATACTTGTGATAGATACTGGCGGTACATAAGCGAGCCGGTAAATGAACCTGAATCGTAAAAACGGCAATCATCTTCTGGATAATTATTAATGTACACACAGTCTGCTCCGGTAACTTTATTTTTCATTACGCCTGAAGTAATAAAAAATAAAAAAAGGGGGCTATAGGATTAATATTACAACAACTGAAACATATTCTATCTCTCTGATAAGTTGTTCGTACAATTCTGTATTTCTCATTATCTTGAATTTCTCATTATCAGTAACTTGAATGACAACGCATTGCTTACGTCACAATATTGTGACGTTCGTCCCATATAATACGGAATAAATTTCGGTGAACAAAATGGGACATTTCAATGTACTTTAATGTACTTGTAAGTTGGAGCCCGGCTGCAGAGCGTAATCATACTCGACCAATCAGATATCTCAAATTTCGACCAATGGAAAAGCGCTATATGAAACCTATCGTGCCCTACTACTTTAGGCTTCTCCTGATCAATTTGATTTTTTGTGATTTCAGCTACTGTGTTTTGCCCACAACGACTCTTGTTGCTTTCTGAAGCCGTCTTTTTTATACGACCTTCCTCATAACCGATCGTTAACGCTAATGGCCGCCAGTACCACATTGGGAGCGAGAGAAATGGGATACAGTTATTTTGTCCTCAAATAGTGTATATTTTCTCTCGTCATCTCTTTCGCCATCTGTTCTAAATGCCATAGTTAATTATCGGTGGAACCGGGTGGGGACAAGAGATGTGTACTATTTTATGGGAAAAAATCAACGAGATATCGACGGCCATGGCGTCTGAGGTCTATTTTTGATGCCACAATAACAAATCCTCGATCGAGCATTATCTTTTATATGCATGAAAACAATTAGCCTCATGACCAGTTTCCTATGGGAAATGGTTGTAAAACTATTACAATGTACGCACTTACATCCTAACTACTGTCACCAGCCACCCATTTTGAATCAGCACGCAAAACAATTTGAAATTAGGTCGATTATATATATATGGTTATATGTAATAACTGCATGAAAAATAACGTACGAGTTTCGTGTTTTCTTGTATGATAATAGATAATGTGAATCGGAATGCCAACTGAAACTTCGCGCGCGTGGTAGCTGAGCAATCACGTAACCTGAACATGAACCCTAATAAGGATAAAAACAAAATGGCCGCCAGTCGATAATATTGCATAGGATTACATGGGTGTTTTTTCATCATTCGAGAATTAAGATTGAGCAATTCTAAATACAGCTTCTTAAGCAAAATATAATATGTGTTGTTGGTATTTTTTCGGCATCGTATTTTTGTCTTTAGCCTGGACATTTCGGTCAACTATTCTTGCTACTGAACAAGGGTAATCGAGTAGAAATAAATGTATGCGTCAGATGTCTTGGTAAAATTTGTCGTCACTATAACCAACGAAAACGATCGTCATACAATACCTGTGACTGCAGTAGAACATCTAGTGGCTTCTATGTCACCACTACCAGATGAATAGAAATAGGGAGCACCAGTATTGCCACCAGGGTATTCATCATATACACCATATCTTAAATGACCCCATTCGTGTACTATTACCTGAAATAAATTATTATAAAAAGGGCCATTCAATGCAGATGTGTTTTCTATGTTTTAAAATGGTGCAAATGGCAGAGCAGGTGTCATTATGTCAAATCAGGTTTTACAAATATTCATTTCTATTTGGCACGTGGCAAAGAAAGTTTTAAAACTCATTCCCAGGTGTGTTCGCGAATTCCAGTACCGATTGCATGTTCCCATTGCAGCGGATTTCACATAAAAGAACAGTCTCGAAAATCTCACTGAGCTTACTGCAGTATATCATTGTTAACGTATACAGTATTATAAAACACAAACTAGTTACACACAAGTCGCGTCTTAATGCGAATTATAATTGTGGTGTGAAACCTATAAACACATAGCGTAAGCCGAACTTAATATATCATTGTATACACGTGTTGTTTATTTCTTTCTCATGAATTATTCAACATACGTACGTGTGAGTAAATACCATAGCTGTCAGCAATGGTTGAATCCATGAGATAATCTGCTGTGAGATGCATGTAATCACCCACTTCTCCACAAGGTGTCGGTTTCATTACGTACGGTCCATCGTGATCGGTGTCGTCAATCCTAATATCACTAGTTTCATATGTCTCGTAGTTATGTGTTTCATACTGGGGGTCATCGGTCCAAGACTTCGGGACAAGAATGGTTATACTCTTGAAATATGCACGATATCTGTTGAGAAACAAGAGCAGATGAAATATAAAGAATACGCAAGACATTGGTCAAGACATTACCATATATTCCTGTATTTATAAGACAGAGCAGTGCTCATACCTCGACCTGAGAGTCATGCGGGCACTAAATGACACTATACATTCTATTGAGGTGCAATCTTTTGTATAGTATGACCGTTGAAGTGGAGTAGCCTGTGAACATTTAACAATCGGCATTTGTATGCTAGCTGTACAGCATCTTCAGTTAGCCAAAAAAACCTGCTTCGCAACGGGCAAGGTGTAACTCCTCGCTTTGTCTACCTACACCACCTGGTAACGATCTCAGTATCCTGACTTCACGTGCAGAGGTATCTTAAGGACGTAAGTAAACCCTTAGGGTGAACATAGACGTTCTCCTACGTCAAACAGAAGCAGTCAGGGCTGAATATCATTGCACCTAGTGAACAATCACGTTCCCTCTATCCCTCTATCTATAAAGGGATTGTAGAACAATCAATGACCTTTTCCAGATGTCGCGCCCCAGACGTCAGAATCACCTAGACAGGTGAAATGAAGGCCGCTCAAAGCGACCTATAATGTTTGTTATTTATACCACCAGATACGTCGATCACATACACACGTTAATATGGTTAGTACCTTAAGCTTGATATCGTGCGATTCTGTATTTCTCGGAAGCGGGTTCATACATTATAACCCGAGGCCCAAGACTCGTGTTTAATTTCCGACTCAGGCTTACTCTAAGTGTAAACATAGCTGCCATTAGGCAAGATTATCCGGCTAGTATAAACACGAATCAATTAGTCAAGCATTAATAGGACTAAACAAAGTTACGCTTCATTGTTGCACCTTTGTATACTATAAATTACGTCATCGTAAGTCACAGCACATGTCGTTGAAATTGTAATTTATAGCATTATCTGTACAATGAAATCATTCATCCGTACTTTTTCAATGGCAAGGTGAATTCTTGCGTCATATGGTATGCCTAGATATTTCATATGCAGTTAGGAGAATTGGGAGAAAACGTGTCTCACTGCGTATGACTCCATTTCAGTAAGCCCTGTCTATGAATAGCAGCGACAACGCGCTTTTGTGTACTAGTATAAGAGTAAACTGAAGTTCGTTGACATAGTCGATCATTGTCTTAGTGTGCAGTTGTCCAGCACTTAACAAAATCATATTCTTGTGAGATTTGATATTTTCTAACTGACGAACAATAAAACAAAATTCGGCGATGTGAACGACATTGTATTTACTGTCTAGGTAGGAGGAGGGGGATAATTTTCGATCAGGAAAAATCATTCAATACCAAGACAACGCAAGGATACGCAAATTATGAAGTAGAATAAATCCAACAAAAAAATGTGACGGTAGGTTACTAATCGATTTTCTAAAACAATTACTTTTGTTTATTGTTTCATTATTTTTCATACAGGGGAAACTATGGTAAATATATGTTTTATATTCTCACCTTAGATAACATCAATTTAGTTGCAGATGTGTCAAAAATATAGCTTAGATACAGAAATATATTACTGGTTGGAAGAATGTCTCCTTGTTTTGGGATAATCTCAATTTCAATGAAATGGCTTGCTGAAATAAACATTAGTCAATTTCAAAAACCATGCATTAACATGATGAAGATTTTAAGCTGTTAAAAACATCTGAAAGTTCTCGAATGTGCGAGGCTTCTAAACATTTTGATAATACCACAGGGTGTTACTTGCCATACGTGTGAGTACGATTATAATGCGGATATCTAAGTTACCAGAGTGCGCAGACATAAATATATGATACCCCGGTACCCCGAAGTCATGTAACGACAATAGTCACAAGTGTTCTTGCTTAATAGCTCCCGGTGAATAGGGAAACTTTCATTCCCTGACTGATTAATAGTTGTAAGGACTTCGGGTTTCCTTTTTTGGGGGGAGTCGTCATTTAGTATATAGGCACGTGCTTACGCGACTTGAGACTTGTTTGTCGGAAATCAACAACTAAAATGGAACACAATATACTCAGAAGTTTGCAAAAAAATAGTGCAGGTGAGAAGAGAGATTTTCAAATTACTGACGTCACAATACCTCGTTATCTCACAGAGAAATGCTGAGGCGTCGGTGAAAACTTCTTGAATCTTGTCCAGTAACGCCTTGTCTTCGGGAACGTTATCTTCAATCGCAATCACAATATCGTGGTACTCGTTGTTGATTAGTGTTACTTTCGTATGACTGACACTACTAACAGTAAAAATCGTACATGCAAGTATAACACACATGCACACAGTCGATGTCAGCCCGAATCGAGACATTTCGCTTGTTAATCTGGAACCAACTGACGATTTTGATTCGCGAGCTCGTGTCAAGTATTTATATATGGATGCGGCGTGAATACCATGTTATTGCGGAAACAGGTAACCAATTGTAACTAGTGTGACCACGTGGTATTTTTCAACCAATAAGATTGCATAACTGTATATTTGTGTTTACAAAAAACCATGGCAGCTCGAATCTGGTGATTTGTTTCTATTAATAGATCGATGGATCTTCCAATGAGTCTGTTTGTTTCTATTAATAGACCGATGGATCCTCCAATGACTATGCAGCTATGCGTTTTGTTGTTTTGTGTGGAGACACACGAATAAAGGATGCGCACGGTAGACAATTACGAGCGAAGATGTGATGATGGAAAATCAAATCAACAGAATCTGGCTGAGGTTATTTAGAACAAAAAATAAATTAAAGAGACACATATGCATTCTACTGGACGATTATTGTCCTTCGGTTTTTCCGATGATCTTCAATTTGGCGTACATTACGATCGCCTGTACGTAGGCGCCGTACGCCGTTCAAACACAAACTGACAGACAAAGCCCATCACGACCGTAACTAGTTCTTCATCAACACGTAACGCCTTGAATTTCGAACAAACCGTTCCATCAGTTTGTTTTGTCATTTTTTTTTTTGGTATTTACTATTCCGTTTTTAAAATACTTACAGGACGCTTATCGACTTTCTAAAAACTGGTTGTATATGGACAACGACTATGACAGTATCGACAAATCAAAGAGTTTATGTGATGTATTTTTAAAATCTTTTTTTATATCGCGTGTCGATATGAAATGGGGTGTAATTTTTCGTAAACTAAAAGCGTTGTTTTGTTAAAAAACATAACAGTATGGGTTTGGTGAAATTATGGAAACAATAGCAGTGCTAAAGATCCGGGTGTATTTTATGCATCCGGGTTTAATATTGTTCCAGTCATTCGCGTTTTAACGTTTAAACTGTTTTCCTCATGGTTTCCAATAACTTGCGCTATTGACAATTCGTTCGAACTGCCTTCTAAAAATAGCCAAGTCTAGTTTTAAGTGCAGTCAGATGTGTATTGCCCGTGTCGTGTTTATAGTTGATGGATTTCCACTACCGCGTCCTTAACAACAAGTAAACATACCATAAACATCGCATGCACCAAATCGGTGCCGTTCTGTCTCTTTTTTTTTCTCATGCGAATAAATACAACTGAATTAATAATATTGAGTCACTGTGCAATGTTCGGAGAAAATTGATATACAATTCCCGATAAGCCAATTGTGTTGATATTATGACATATTGTGATTGTTTACTATGGTACGTATGTTAATATCTCGACAATTGGTGTGTTTTACAGAGTACTTAAAATGTGACACGAGTTTTAGTGGTGTCATTTCAAACTAGTGTGGACATTTTTATGCGTAGTATTTGACAATTTTTATTGAAAAACATATTTACAATAAACAAACAAGTCTACATACTGTTGACTAATACTAAAACACTTTTTTTGACTGATTTTGACATTAAAAATTGTCACTGCTAGTACATGACGCATGCAAAGCATTGAAGCATACTTTATTACCAAAGTGTTTACGATGTAAGACGAGTAACGCCTACTTCACCACAACCAAAACGACACGATAGCTTGAGCAAGTGTTCTTCCACGTCACGCAGTATTAACACACCTATAGTATACATGTGGTATAATAATACCTCGCCATATGAAATGAAAGACTGATAACCCCATGTCACCACCACCAAAACTTCAACAATCGTGATACCTTTGGACAAATCATTAAAATCACCGATCACGTCGGAGGTCTAACAAACCTATAGTGTACAAATGAAATGAAAGAAGCTATCGTAGAAATTCCACGTAATTCACACCTGAATGGATGCCTTATTTTTGTATACGATTCTGGGTACAGATAAAACTCAACTTCAATAAATCGGGCTACATCAAAATATATGAACGTTATTAATACAACGGAGGACTGAATACCGTGTTAGTTGCACGTACACGAAGAGTCTGGAGACGCGCACGCGTATACGACACTTCAGCATAATAAAAGCTGTGTTACCATAATAACTGTAGGTGTAGATGAATGAATTGCACTGTGTGGACACCATCCTTCGATCGATTGATCCATAACCATGGAAACATAGCAGTACAGTAACAAATTTGTGCTTTCCAAACGTCCTTAATGGTACAGATTTGTGGACGCTTGCAGTGATGACAATAGACTTTTGCTTTTTTTCATATTTAGCCAGCGTTGGTTATACATTGTTACAGAGGCAGGAGATATTAATATTGTGATTTTAAAATATCGAAAAACTAAGGTTTACATGATTGGCATTATCTACGTGCAAGTGCCCACGCATCTATACCATAATCCATTATTCCTATTCTCTTTCAACGCGTTCTAGTTCCGTTTGTAAGTATCATGTATTACGCGTTGTGTTTAAAGGAAATGAGGACCAAAGTTCAGAACATGGTATTAAGCAGCTACTTTTTAGCAAGACTTTTACACCTGTGATCAGCCGAGCGCTACTTCTTTTGTTTTCTGTTTACAATACCTCTAATTCACGTCATGATACTATTTTTGAACTATTCAAGACAAGCACACCATGGACATGATGCCACCAGGATAGATAAATATCGCCATTGACGTGTTGAATAGGATTCTGTATGTTGGCCCCAGTTTCCATGGTACCACGATTGCACGTTACTAAATGGAAACACAATTTCTGCATAAATCAATGCAACATTGCAGCCAGTTTGTTTGCTCAACGGAAGCTCCCGTGCAAACATTGCATTTTGCACGTGAAATGTGTACACATATTCAAGTCTGTATAACACAACGTAATTCACGACAAAATTGTTTGTATTTACAGTTCTACAGAAGTCAGGCATTAAATAATAGTTCGATTTTCACACAAAAAAAAACATTTTACGTGTTGTAGTACGTTTTAAGTTGAAGCAACTGTTACCGCGCGTTCAACTCAAGAGTCTGTCGTGCATTTCAGAATATTCCTTATAGAAAATTCTCCGCATCGAATATTTAGTTTGTTATATATATCGTTGATCATCGAACAGAGAAACTGCATGTGATTCAGTGACTCGGTGACACCCTAAGATGCTGAGCATCCAATCACAACCGAATCCACAGAACAGCTAGGTTATGTTCAGCTATTGGCAAACCGGATATTTTGCGAATACTTTTATCACAGTACACATAAGACAAAGGCTTCAAAATTTTGCCGGATATAAAACTTTAAAATATCGAAACACTAATACATAATTGTTAATGTTTTAGAAAAGACGTTATTTACATTTTGGTTCTTCAATAAGGGCTACAGGTGCCCGAAAACTATCTCTTAATTCATATCTTATTTCAACGTATTCTAGTTCCGTTTGTGTGTGATCTATAACATGTGACATGTTTATAGAAGGCGAGGACCAAAGCGCAAATGGTATTGAACTTATACTTGTTTTGCAAGACTATTTTTATACATGTGACCAGCCGAGCGCTATATTTTTTGTTTTCTAGATACAATACAGTACACCTATTCACGTCATGATACTATTTTTGGACCATTCAAGACAAGCACATAAATAATGTGACATCACAGGGAAGATAAATTGAAATGATTTGAGGTTTGTTTGTTTGTACCAGTTTCCATAATAACGATGTTAACAAGTCAAGTATTTGAAAACATGCTACGAAATTAATGCACAAACCCTGTATATTTGTAATTGTTTTATCATTGAATGACAATACTCCATGTAATTTGAAATAGCAAAGTTCTACAAACAATTCAACTTATTGCCCACGTATTCCCGAATACTTCCCAAGAATTAGTCTCTGAATTAATGTCATATTATGGTTAAGATGGCCATGAAGTGATGGATTTTTTCTAATTTGCACTGAAAGTAATTTGACAATCAAATGCTTTCTGAAATAAAGATTTTAAATATGCAAATCATTGTAATTTACGAGCACCAAAATTACAGTTATATCCTGTAGCTGTAATACAATAATAGCCTCGCCATATAAAACAAATTACCAATTACCCCCACCTCACCACCACCACCACGGCACCTAATTTGAAGAAGCGTGTTGCCATTGCATGAAGTATAACATTTATTATGTGCAAATAAAATGAAAGCAGATATTATATAAGGTGCAGATAAAGCCCAACTTCTAATGAAATCGGGTTACATCAAAATAATATCCACGTCAACTGAGAACCGAGAATTGCCATAGTAATGTTTTGTTCTGTCGGGACACCATACCTCTATTGATTGACCTATAACCATAGAAACATAGCATTACAGTAAAAAAATAATGCCCTATTAAAAGACAAGATGGGGTGGGAGGGCGACAGGAGAGATGCTCGCCACTTCTTAAAGAGCCCCCCCCCCAAATTGTATTCACCCTGTTAACAGGGGAGACTCTGTTTTTAATCGACTTTGATATGACTAAATTACACTTGAATTGTATAACACCTGTGTTACTTTGTCACAGGGATTGATGCGTGAAATCCCTTAGTTTACACCGAAATACCAAGATAAGTCGTCCTACCGAATAATCCCCAAATATTTGGGTCACAGGCTGAGAAGAGAATCGATAGCCCCGACAAATGTGGTATGAGGTAGAGAGATACTATTGTAACGTAACATCTTTATATGAGACGAGGCATTACACCAACGTTCAAATGGTATTGAACATTTACTTGTTTAGCAAGACTATTTTTAAACATGTGACCAGCCGAGCGCTATATCTTTTGTTTTCTAGATACAATACAGTACACCTATTCACGTCATGCTACTACTTTTGAACCATTCACGTCACGTCACACAATAGATATGACGTCAGCAGGGGAGATAAACCATTAATTTGATAATTGAAGTTTGGTATGTTTGAACCTGTTTTCATGGAAACCGTATTAACAACACTGACTATGATAGACTGAATGTGAGAAGCATTTGAAACATGCAACACTGCAACCGGTG